CTGCAGCGGTTCTGCTGCAGCAGCCGCAGCAAATGCAGTGCGGCAGCTGCAGCAGCAGCAGCAACGAGGACTCTGCAGCAGCAACTGGGCATCAGCAGCAACAGCAACTGCACCAACAAACGCAACACTACCAGACGCAGCAGCAGCAGCAGCAACAGCAGCGCAAGCAGCAAAAGAGCAGCAGCAACAACAGCAGCAGAGCAGCAGCAGCTGCAGCAACTGCTGTAGAGCAACAGCAGCAGCAGCAACCGCCACCAAAGCAACAGCAGCGGCAGCAACAGCAGTAGCAGCAACACCAACAACAGCCGCCACAGCAGCAGCAGTAGCAGCAGCAGCAGCAGCAGCAGCAGCAAACCTGATACCGAATCCCGCCCAAACGACGGAATTCAAATAAGAAGTTTCCAAAAGCACTTTTATGTTTACAACAACCATCGTCAAGGCAAATACCAACATGCCCGTCATCCACAAGTCAAACGGCTGCAGCAACACAAACCCTAAACCCTAAACCCTAAACCCTAAACCCCCAACCCTAAACTCTAAATCATCGTAAAATGCATGAGCAAGACGCCGCATCACCTCCACGTGAAAGAGCGGAATCGCGCAACCCCCACCCGTAAACCCTAAACCCTAAATCCTAAACCCTAAACCCTAAACCCTCACCTGCCCCTGGAGCGTGGGCACGCTGTAGTAGCCGAAGGCCGCGAGGGGCAAAGCGAAGATAATGGCTGCGTGCCAAACCCCCGACAAAACCCACAAAAGGAAAACTTTGAAATTTAAATAAAAATGGAATTGTCCAGTTTTGTAGAGTTGGGGAAAAGCCAAAGAAAGACGCTTGTCCACGTCCTGGTCCAACACCCCGTAAATTGTGATGGGAATCTGCAAAAACCATTTCAAAAGGAATTGAAAGGAAATTCAATTTAAATTCAATTTAAATTCAATTTTGTCTTCTATTTTCAAACTCATGCTGCAAAAAAAGAAACAAAAAAGAAACATTTCTATTAAAAAATCAAAACTTCAAAAATCTTCCGATTTCGTGCTTTCGTTCGGGTGTCTAGACACCCCATAGTCCACGGCGAAGTTGAAAAGTTCAAATTTTGCAAAAAAAGGTTTTGGGACTTTTTGAATTAATAAAAAGGTTTTTAGGGTTTTAAATAAACCCTTTTCAATTTAAATTCATTTATTCAACCTTTTAATTTCAAACTCGACTCAAGTTTGGCGAAACTCCGCAGTCGCCACTCCTTCCCCTAAACCCTAAACCCTAAACCCTGGCCCGTACCCTGCACTCCCCACGTGAGCCCAAACCGCACCCACCCCGCCCGCAAACCCTAAACCCCAAACCCTAAACCCTAAACCCTAATCCCCAAACCCCAAACCCTAAACCCCAAACCCCAATACCCAAACCCCAAGCCCTAAACCCTAAACCCTAAACCCTCGCGGCTCACCGCAGTGAAGACGACGTTGTACATTTGGTAGAGAAGTTCGAAGTAGAACTTCTGGGAAGAGAAGAGAGAAAAGGCTCCGTAGAAAAACATTGGCAAAACTAAAACTAAGTTTTTGTAAAACATGTAAAGCACTAATCGACAAACCCTCCGGTAGTTCCAACGCCCGTGCGCCAGCAGCAGCGGCTGCAAGTACCGAAACTGACTCAACCCGTAGTCCGAAGCCTGCACCAAACCGAGGGTTTAGGGTTTAGGGTTTAGGGTTTACTGCTGGGGCTTCACGCCCCCTGAGGGTTGTTGGGGGGCCGGGGGTCGCGGGACGGTCTAGGGTTTAGGGTTAGGGTTTAGGGTTTAGCTCTGGGCTTTGACTCCCGCTAAGGCTTGTTCGCGCTTGGGGGGCCGGGGGATGGGCTAGGGTTTAGGGTTTAGGGTTTAGGGCTTGCTGCGCAGGATAATATTTCTCCCGAATCAAGCTTTCCGGTTAGCAGCACCCGAAACCCTAAACCGCAAAGCCATAGACCCCCCGCCACCCCAGGCCCAGCTAGGGCGCGCCACGCAGCCCCTAGGGTTTAGGGTTAAGGCTTTAGGGTTTAGGGTTTAGGGTTTACGTTGAAGGCCTGCATGCCCTCCTCGCCGCGAAGGCCCACACCCACGTCCGCGGCCTGGATCATACTGCAGTCATTTGCGCCATCGCCGATGGCGAGGGTAACCTCCCCAGTGAGTTTCTTTAAAAGAGCCACCACTGCGCCCTGCAAACCCTAAACCCTAAACCCTAAACCCTAAACCCTAAACCCTAAGCAGCTTCTACTAAAACGTCTTCAAGCTAGTCAATCATTGTGAATTCTGCTAAACCCTAATCCAGTTGCACAAACCGTACCAACTGATATCAGCAGCAAATTCCCCCCCAGGTCACGGGATACCATAAAACCTAGGCCCTAAACCCTAAACCCTAGACCCTAAACCCTAAGCTCTAAACCCTAGGACCTGCACCATGTGGGAATCCAGTGGAATCCACATCCCGGGGTTCTCGAGTTCGTCAGCGCCCTTCGTCTTCGCCTCTAGGTTTAGCGTTTCGGCCGTGGCTAAGGGTTTAGGGTTTAGGGTTTAGGGTTTACCTTTTGGTAGGGAGTGACTCTGCTGCAGATAACAGTTTTGCAAGCTGTGCAAACAGCAGCAAACTGAATGGCAACATCATCTTCTAAAAGATGGACAAGTGCTTCTCCATCAATAACAAGAGCCCTCTCTTCTTCTTTTCCTCCTGCTGCTGCTGCTGCTTCTGCTTCTGTTGCTGCTGCTGCTGCTGCTGCTGCTGCTGCTGGGGTTCCGGATGCTGCTGCTGCGGGTCCCGTTGCTGCTGATGCTGCTGCAAAGGTCGGCCTGGAGCGGCGCTTCTCTGCTGCTATGGAGCGCAGATCCTGCTGCAGCTGCTGCAGCAGCAGCTCTTTGCTGCTGCTGCTGCTGCTGCTGCTGCTGCTGCGGAAATCCTCCATCAAATACGACAGCCGCCGCATTCCTTGTGGCAGCAGCGAAGTTGCCACAGCAATGTTTAAAGCTGTTTCCACTTTGTCTCCAGTTAGCATCCAAACCTGAATTTAAATAAATCATTTGATTCATTTATTCATTTCAATTCTTTTTCCGTTCAATTTTTCATCAGAAAAAGAGGATTTCAACAAGGATTAGGGTTTAGGATTTAGCGTTTAGGGTTTAGGGTTTGTCCAGAGAAGAAGCAAAATGTAGTTCATGCGCCTAAACCCTAAACCCTAAACCCTAAACCCTGGCCGTTGGTGTTGTAGTCTTTGTAGCAAATAATGCTTCAGCTCTAAACCCTAAACCCTAGCTAGATATCTGCAGGGGTCTGCGGGGAAGCAAGTGCGGCGTCCCAAAACCCTAAGCTCTAAACCGTAAACCCTAAATTAGGGTTTACCTTGATCCCTGCGTGCCGCAGCTTTTCAATGGTCTCCCCCACGCCCTCCTGCAGTTTATCTTCAAGGCCAGTAATGCCCTGAAGCTCCAGGTCATTTTCTAGCATTTCCGCGGCTCTGTAAAATAAAAAATAAAAATTAAAATTAAATAATTAAGTATCGAATTATCCAGATAAATACATCAATCTCTGAAGCAAACTACGGAGAACATTTTGGTCTAAATACTTTTTAAATTGATTAATTATTTATTTCCATAAAAGTAAAAAGCAAAAAAAATCGGAGACGGCACTCGCTCGTTTTTACTCTTACGTTCATTTTGTGATACATTACTTATAACTTGTTTATTCATTTTTACTTTTATTTATTCTGATTTATTACTAATTACGTTTACTTCTTATTACTTACATTTATTAATTATTATTTATTATTTAACTTAAATGGCATTCATCACTTATTCATCATTTATTACTCAGTTGAAATTTATCAATTAATTAATCCACCACTTTTTACATCTAATTTCGTTTTGAGTTCATTTGTTTATTATTATTCTTTAAAGTGCTTCTCATCTTTTTATTATTTTTCGTTTATGTAAATTCTCTTTACTTACTATTTAGCCACAAACCCTAAACCCTAAACCCTAAACCCTAAACCCTGAACTCCAACCCCCAACCCCAACCCAAACCCTAAACCCTAAACCGTGAACCCTAGACTGAACCGGCTGTTGAACCCCCCAAACAACGGGGTTTTGCAAACCCTAAATTAGCGAATAAGCGTCCGAGAGGAGCTGACTTTTCGATTTTTTCCTGGCGGTCTACAGTGGCGGTTTGGGCTTCTTCGTAAACCCTTAACCAGCGTATAAACTTTTTCTCTTTTATTTCTTTATAAGCGATGCACAAAGTCCTCAAACCCTCGCGCGCGTAAGACTCCATTGCAGACACCATCCGCTCCTCCACAGGGCCCACCTGACAAACCCCAAACCCTAAACCCTAAACCCTAAACCCTAATTCCCGCGGGAGCGGCTTTTCGCTCCTTCACAAGGCCCATCTGACAAATCCTAAACCCCAAATCCTAAACCCTAATTTCCTCTGCAGACAAGATCCGCTCCTCCACAGGGCCCACCTGACAAACCCCAAACCCTAAGCCCTAAACCCTAAACCCTAAATCCTAATTCCCACTGCAACCATCATTCGCTGCTTCAGACGGCCCACACAACGGTACCCTAAACCCTAAACCCTAAACCCTAGTTCACACTGCAGCCGCCATCCGCCTCTACACAGGTCCCACCTGCCAAAACCCTACAACCTAAACCCTAAACCCTAAACCCTAAACCCTACTTGTTTCAACAGGGGCAAAATAACAGTGTCTGCTCCCTTGGTGAGAAGAATGATTTTTCCTTTCAAGCCGCTGGGGCCTCCGCGGGTGCTGCCGCCGTTGCTGCTGCTGCTGCTGCTGTTGCTGCTGCTGCTGCTGGTTGCTGCAGCAGCAGGAGAGCTGCTGCTGTCGTCCTGAAACCCCACGTGAATCAGCATGCTGGATCTTTTTCTTCGAGAAGTAAATTCAATTGAACACAAAACCCTAATTAGGGTTTTGCGTCCCAAAACAGAGACCGCCAAACCCTCAGAGTGCCGCCCCAAAAACGAAACCCCAAAGTGGTGAGCTGCGTACACCAAAGCCCCCTCGTCCGGGCTGCTGGCCCCGTAGCTGCGCGCAAACCCTAAACCCTAAACCCTAAACCCTAAACCCTAGACCCTAAACCCTATGCCCTAGACCCTGGGTTTGGGCCGGAGCGGATGGCGCAGCTGCCTGCTCAGGATTTCCAAACCCTAGACCCCAGACCCCAGTGGCAAACCCTAAACCGCACAACCCAAACCATAAACACCAAACCCTAAACCCTAAACCCTAAACCCTACGCCCGGAAGGCCAAGCTCCGCCCACCGCGCCCTAAGCTCCAAACCCACGGCCGGAAACCCTAAACCCCAAACCCTCGCCTCCACGCCGCGCCCCCCGAACCCCAACCCCCAAACCCTAAACCCTAAACCCTAAACCCTAAACCCTACATGGTGCCTCCGTCGTCGGTGGTTTCGCAAATAGCGGAGTGGTTGACAGCCAAGTGGAAAAAGAAAAGAACAATATGAGAATGGAGAGGATGATTAGGGTTTGAGAGATGAGCCCTCAAAGCCGCATCAGATATGCGCACGTGCGGGGTTTGGGGCTCGCCCGGCGCTGCAACAAACCCTAAACCCTAAACCCTAAACCCTAAATCCTAAATCCTAAATCATGAACCATGGCCCTGGACCCTCAACCTTAAGCCCTGAACCCTCGTCCCTACACCCTGAATCCAAAGCCTTGAGCGCTAAACCCTAAACCCTAAACCCTTAGCCCTAAACCCTAAACCCTAAACCCTCACGTGGGGGCGGATCGGGAGGCACCGGCTTCCCCATGCGGTGAAGCACCTGTCGCTTGATGTCCGTCAAACCCTTTCCGTAGTAAAACCCTAATCGCAGTCCACAAACCCTAAACCCTAAACCCTAAACCCTATACTTTAAACCCTGTCGGCTCACTGACTAAATAAAAACACAAACAAAGAAAAAAGCATCGCGGAGCCTTTCGCAGGCTCTCCTGCCTGGGGTTTGAGGTCACTGGCGGCTTCACTGTTTAGGGTTTAGGGTTTAGGGTTTACCTTTGATGCAGCATTTTCTGAATTCCATGAAGTTTTGCGTCAAAGTTCCCGTCTTGTCCGAAAAGAGATATTTAACTTGCCCAAGTTCTTCATTTAAATCGCTGGTGCGGGGCCACGCGCCCTGCCTGGGTTTAGCTGCTGCTGCTGCTGCTGCTGCTGCTGCAGGAGCAGCAGG